TGACCTAATGATCAAACCCACATCTCCTGGGTTTCCTGCATTGGCATGCAGATTCTTTACCACTGAGCCATCAGAGAAGCCTATGTTAAATTGGATTCACTACCAATTGTTTTACTAAAAGTTCTCTTATTGACTGAAATTCAATATAAGCAGCACCCCCTCAACCCACCACCACCCCCCAGGTATAGCACATATGTGAATCCTTGTGAGCGTATCTTATTACCTAATTTCTCTTAGAGTAAATGTCTCTTTTAAGATATGTATAGGGAATAATTTTCTTTCAGATGGAGTTGGAAATAGGATATTACCTATGCTTGGAGGTTCTTGGTGACCAAGGTAGTCACAATAATTATTCACGGCAAATATTTCTGTCTTTTCACATTACTCTGCATCTCCATGGAAACATTACTCTGAAGGAACTTCTGTATTTTCACTTTTTTTTTTTTTGCTGTGGTTTCCTTTTATCAGTCTTAGCTTGTTATTTTTTGTTTATTCTTCCTTGTTGTAAATTTATATCTATATATCAATGATGTAGTAGCCTGAAATTTGGAGGATGAGGAGTAGGATGGAGGCAGCTCTGTAGTTGACTCCTAAATTAGTCCCCAGGCTTCCTATTTCCAGTATTTCAATTATGGCTGATTCCTGGTAGTAAAATAGGTTATTTTCTTACACGTGTCCCAAATATCCTCATTAGCACACTTTACATTCTGTATTATGGATTATTGCTTAACTTCTTATGGCATTTTCTCCTCCTACTTCTGTTAATATTACTGCTTCTCAGAGGGGTAATTACAAATCTAGTACTTATGTCTTCCATCAGACTCATCCTTATCTTTACTTTAACCTTCCCTAACTTTTAGTTTTGTTGAAAAGTTCTGACAATTTATATATAATCACTTCATTTATTTCCTAGAATACTGAGAGAAAGAGTGTGAGTAGGTAGAGAGAGAGAGAGGGCTGAGGTCAGTGAGACCTCTGTACTTTATTTAAAATATACATGAAAATTTAGAAGAAAGAAAATCTTTATTAATTTGCCTCTTCAGAAAACCCACATTCAGTAGCTGGCTTACTCAGGTGATGTATTTAGGAAATCTAGAAACACTAAAATTAAATTTACCCACTTGTATATCAGTTTTGACTTTATCAGAATTTTGGGTTATTTTTCTTGTGTCTCTAATCTAGATTCCATGTGTTATTCAGACAAATTGATATATGCATTTTTTTTTTCCAGAAAAGATTTGGCCTAGTTAGGGCTCTCAAAGTTAAAATGATTATAGCATGGGATATAACATGAAGGTAGGTATCCTCAGTGATCACTCCCCTCTAGTCTGGAGAAGGTTTAAAGGGTTATTTTGGATGAGATATGAGTGATTTGAGATAAATATTAATTTTCTTCTCTTCAATCTATTCTATCTTGAACTATCCTAGATATCTCACATATAATAATGTATTGCGACATAATCATAGAAAATAAGTTAATATCATAGTTATTACAAAGAGGTGATTTTGTGAACAGAAAAGCAGCTTACTTAGCGTGATCTTATAAACTGATGTTAAGTTGCCATTTTAAGAGAACGAAAACTTACATTATAAGACACGGTAAAATACAACTCTTAAAAACAGTGTATGTTGTGAATAGACAAAGAAATAAAAGTAAATACTACAGTTAAACATCCATAAATGAAAGAAGGCCACAGCTGCATAAAAACAGACCCTTTTCAACCAAACATTGTGTTATAATTGAATTGCCTGCTGAGCCAAACAAAAATCGTCTCTCTCAGAGTCAGATTCTGACTGTCATGCACTTTAAGTGAAGGCAAGCAAAATGCCTCTCCACGTGTTCAGAGAGTGTTATGGCTTTCACATGGCTTTGGAAAGCTTTTCCACAGGGTTTTTCATAATTGTATTTTCCCCAGGTTAAAAGAAATCTCTAATCACAGTGCCTTTTTTATTCCCCAGGTACTTTCCTGCCTATATTACATGAGAGACCACTGTGATTCACAGGAGGTGCTCTCTTTGCAAGATTCAAACTAATTTTTACACAAACTTCATTGAAGTTTTAGAGTATTGAATTTTTTTTAAGTAATGCAACTGGCTTTTAAGAAGTTTTTCAATTAATGCTTATTCCTTTATCCTTTCTAACTGGCACAGTAAATTTTGTGCTGTATATTATGTGTGTGTTATATTCATACACCTCTTATATCATTTTATGTCAAACACTGTGTACATGTAGGGTAGGTATAATAAATATTAATAGATACATAGGTATAATATGGGTGCAAATATAACACTTGCCTCTTTCATTTCATGAAAGTGGAGAGTGAAAAAGTTGGCTTAAAACTCAACATTCTGAAAACTAAGATTATGGCATCTGGTCCCATCACTTCATGGCAAATAGATGGGGAAACAATGGAAACAGTGACAGACTTTATTTTTAGGGGCTCCAAAATCACTGCAGATGGTGACTGCAGCCATGAAATTAAAAGATGCTTNGGGCAGGAGGAGAAGGGGGCGACAGAGCATGAGATGGTTGAATGGCATCATTGACTCAATGTACATGAGTTTGAGCAAACTCTAGGAGATAGTGAAGGACAGTGAAGCCTGACGTGCTGCAGACCTTAGGGTCACAAATAGTCGAACACCACTTAGTGACTGAACAACAACAACCAGTGAAATAAAGCTATACAAAATAATACATGTATTTATTCAGCATTATATAAGCCAACTGTGAAATATTACATAGTTACAATGATATAATAATTATGAAACTCAAAGTAATTGTGTTTTTTGTGAAAGAAATGAGCAGGTATGTTTATCTTGCAAGTAGAGTTGTATAGAGACTGGTAGAGTGTTAAGAAGATAAACTATGGCTTTCCACAAGAAGGAAACAATAGATAACATATAACACCAACAACTCAATGCATTAAGATACAAGCACATTTTGGTTTTTTGGCCTACTGTGCAGCTTGCTAGGTCTCACTTCCCCAACCAGAGATAAAACCTGGGCCCCAGCAGTGAAATTGCAGAGTCCTAACCACTGGTACTCCAGGAAAACCCAATGTAAACACATTTTTAAGAGACATGGAGATAAATGCCAAAAGAAACAGTGAAAGTAATGAAAGTGACAGCTTCTGGAAAGCAGAGATTGGAGGATGGTTAATAGTGGGACAATGACTGTCATTTTATTTTTAAAAAGATATTTAAGAGTCTCACTTTTTAACTATACTCATGAATATAACTCTAACAGAATTTTAAATATATATATGTGTGTGTGTGTATATATATAGGGAGAGATGTTTTTATGATTTATGTGTAGGTATGTATGATTTTAATTATTATCAAAGTGATTACATATATGCATACATGCTCAGTTGCTTCAGTCATGTCTGAGTCTTTGCAACCCTTTGGGCCATAGCCTGCTAGGCTCCTCTGTCCATGGGATTCTTCAGGCAAGAATACTGGAGTGTGTTGCCATACTCTCTTCCAGGGGATCTCCCCGACCCTGGGGTTGAACCCCTGTCTCCTGCAGCTCCTGCACTGCAGGCAGATTCTTTACCTTGGAGCCACCAGGGAAGCCCACCAAAATCATTTGATATAATGGTTATGCTGACAATCAATAACAGCTAAATCCATAGCCCCATCCACATTCCACAATTAGTTTTACCATTTAGGAATTGATGTGAGAGCCAAATCCCAGAAAGTTTTAAGTGATATGTCCAAATCTAATACATGGGAATAAAAAGAGGAAAGAGTATAAATCATACCTCAGACCTTCTTTATGCTACATTTTACCTGGCCTATTTATATTAAAGAACACATTCTACTGTACATATTTATGTCTAGTAAGATAAGTAAGAACAAAACTGTATATTCCAAGGGAAAATATTCATCTAAATCTATTGTATTGTTATCACTCTATAAGTAGGAGAATACAGATCCATGAGTGTATGTCTAATGATTTCAAGTTGTCTATGGCTCTTTTCTTCCCCCTAATTTTCTATCTTTACATTTCATGATGGCATAAATAAAAAAAACCTTGTCCAAATTTAATATATCTTACTGTTTTGAAGCCATAAAAGTGATAGGGAATGAGAATGGACTATTTTTGAATAGTTTTCAGATGACTTTGATAAATAATGAAATTTATCATTAAATTGAACTTTTTTTTGCTTCTGAGCAAACATGTATGATATATAATTCCAGATCCAATTTAATATTCAACACGATGAAGACATACACAACAATAAAAAATGCATTAACATCATGAATGTCTGTGAAAGAGCAAACTTGCAAAACAAAATGGACAGTGATGTCAAAATAAAATTATACTATGTGTTACTCTGTTTTAGTACTTCCATTACTGGCATGGAATTTGGGAGATTGTGGAGGAAGCATTAGTACCAAGTGCTTTCTCATTTGGGTTGATGCATCCATGTTACCATACACATATCAGAGGAATGAATATAGATTGTGGTTTAATACATAATAAATACTTATACTGTAAGCACAAATTTTATGCAGGGTGGTGTCTTCTCAACTGTGAATAATAAATAGCACATATTTTTAATTTTATGTGACTGTTGTTCATGTTGTTAGTGAAAAAAGCATTGATGGTGTCAACCTGTGCTTGAGAACGTGAAAATTTATATACTTATACTTAATATATTCCAGTGTTCGTCAACTGCACATGATTTGTTTTTTATTACATTTCTCCTGCTTGGAATAAAGTATGGTATAGTCCAGGGACTCATTGCTTCATTAATCCTTTAAATTTCATTAATCAATTCATTAAACAAATATTTATCATGAATATACAACAACTTCATTATATTTTTTGCACTGAGTGTAGAACATGGAACAAAATAAAGACTTCTTCCCTCATGATGTCTAAAATATATAGAATGAAGCTTGGTGGTATATATCACAAAGAAAAATAAATTAGGAATAAAATTAGAAAATGCCAAGTGCAATTCTAGATGGGTTAAATTGTGTCCATTAAGACTTCATTAACTATGAAGTAGGAGATAGCAAGAAGCTCTTTTTCCATGTGAGAGAAGTTCAGGATGGCACTGAGCTACAGGCAGGAGATGAGCTGGAATTCTCAGTGATTCTTAATCAGCGCACTGGCAAGTGCAGTGCTTGTAATGTTTGGCGAGTCTGCGAGGGCCCCAAGGCTGTTGCAGCTCCACGACCTGATAGGTTGGTCAATCGCTTGAAGAATATCACCCTGGATGACGCCAGTGCTCCTCGCCTGATGGTTCTTCGTCAGCCAAGGGGACCAGATAACTCAATGGGATTTGGTGCAGAAAGAAAGATCCGTCAAGCTGGTGTCATTGACTAACCACATCCACAAAGCACACCATTAATCCACTATGATCAAGTTGGGGGGATTCTGGTGAAGGGTTCTGAATATCTCCTTCTTCATCCCTCCCAAAATCTGGAATACTTACTCTATTGAGCTGTTACACCAGTTTTAACACATTCCTCGTGTTATGTTTAAAAAAATAAATAAATTTAAGAAAACCATTAGAAAAAAAAAAAAAAGACAATAAGTCAAAGTCCAATCCTCAGCACCTCAGAATGTGACCTAATTTAGAAATGGGGTTGTTGCAGATATAAGGACTTACAATGAGACCATACAGGAGTATAGTGGAGCCTTAATCTAGTATAACTTGTGTCCTTATAAGAAGAGGAGAAAGACATGGAGGGAATACAGCTATAGGAAGTAATAGAAACACTGGTAAGATGCTGTGTGAAGATGGAGGCCCCAGCTGGACTGATACATCTATAAGCCAAAGAGTGCTTAGGGTCACTGGCTGTCACCATAAACTTAAGAGAGGAAGAGATTCTTCCATTGTGCTCTCAAGAGAAATTAACTGTTGATTAGTCCCTTAATTTCAGACTTGGAGCCTCCAGAACTGTAAGAGAATACATTTCCATACCTTTTAAGCTGCCCAGTTTGTGCACTTTGTTATGGCAGCTCCAGAAAATGAATATAGTCAGAAAAGGCCACATAGAGAAGGTGACTGTGTCAGTAAAGACCTGAAAGAAGGAAGGGACAGATACATGTGAAAATCAGTGGAAGAGATTCTAGGCAAGGGGGTAGGCAAATTCAAAGTTCTTGAGTTCAGTGGTGACTCCTTTGTGGCTGGAGCAGCATGTTTAAAAAAGAAGGTAATGGAAAATAATATTCCAGTTTGGATATACCCACAATGGAATATTAACTGTTTGTATATCTATCTATATCATATCTTCTTTATTTATTCATCTCTCAGTGGACGTTTAGATTGCTTCTGTGTCTTGACTATTATAAATAGTGTTGCACTGATCATTGGAGTTATGTATCTTTTTGAATTACAGTTTTATCTTCCCTGGTGGCTTATCAGAATAGAATCCTCCTACCAATGTGGGGGAGGCATGTTTGATCACTCAATCAGGAAGATGCTCTGGAGAAGGAAATGACAACCCACTCCAGTATTCTTGCCTGGAAAATCCCACTGACAGAAGATCCTGGTTAGGTACAGTCCATGAGGTCACAAGAGTTACACACGACTTAGCAACCAAACAACAAACAGTGCCCAGGAATAGGATTGCAATAACTCTATTTTTAGAAGATATGGTACACACACACACACACACACACACACACAGACACACACACTCACACTGAAATATTACTCAGGCATAAAAAAGAATGAAATAATGCTTTTTGCCCAGTGACATGGATGGACCTAGAGATTATCATAGTAAGTGAAGTAAACTGGACAAAGAAATTTATTCATTGTACTACACACTTGAAACTAGTGCTTAGATTGTGTCTTTTACCCTGAGTGGGAAGCAAAGGTTTTGGTGGGTTCTGAGCAAAAGAGTGACTTGATCAGATTTTTTTTTTTAATTTTGTTGAAGTATTGTTGATTTACATTGTTGTGTTTAATATCTGCTGTAGAACAAAGTGACTCAGTTTACCAGTGGAGAGGTTGGCTTCGTTGTGAAGATATTGTGCACCTGTAGAACTAAAGATAAGCCTCTTGAGGAGGGTGAAAGAGGAAATTCAAAAAGCTGGCTTAAAACTCAACATTCAGACATCTAAGATCATGGTGTCCAGTCCCACCGTTTATGGCAAACAGATGGGTGAAAAGTAGAAACAGTGACAGACTTTATTTTCTCGGGTGCCAAAATCACTGCAGACAGTGACTGCAGCCACAAAATTAAAAGATGCTTGCTCCTTGGAAGAAAAGCTGTAACAAACCTAAACAGGGTATTAAAAAGCAGAGATATCACTTTGCTTTCAAAGGTCTGTGATAATGAAAGCGATGGTTTTTCCAGTAATCATGTATGGATGTGAGAGTCGGACCACAAAGAAGGTTGACTGCTGAAGAATTGATTCTTTTTAATTAGGCTTGGAGAAGACTCTTGAGAGTCCCTTGGATTGCAAGGTCATCAAACCTAAGGGAAATCAGTCTTGAATATTCAGGACTGAAGCTGAAGCTGAAGCTGTAATACTTTGGCTACCTGATGAGATGAGCCGACTCATTGGAAAAGACCCTGAGGCTGGGAAAGATTGAAGGCAAGAGGAAAAGGGGATGACAAGGATAAGATGATTGACTGGCATCATCTATTCAGTGGACATGAGTTTGAGCAAACTCTGGGAGATAATGAAGGACTCAGAAGACTAGTGTGCTATAGTCCATGGGGTCGCAATGAATCGGGACACAACTTATCAACTGCACAAGCTGCAGTAACAAGAGTGGCTACAAAAATATGAGAACAGGTAAAAGTGTTTACATAGACCATAGGACTTACAGAAGTTTCTTTCTTACTGAAACTGAAACAAACTGAAATGGAAAGCAAGGTCAGGAGCTGAGAGTTTGAATAGGAAAGAAGGCGCTGTGAACTTGACAAAAGATAAAAGGCTATGAAATTGATGACCGGGAGGGTGAAGCAGTGCACTGGGACAATATCGTAAGATTGGCAGGTAGCGTTTGGGATGCATTTGAGGTTAATGATAATAACTTTGAAGTGAGGCTGTCAGCATTGCTGTAGACTTTTTCTATACACAGCAAGTTGCAAGGTTGTAGGCGAGAAGTAGGTAGCAAGTTGGATTTAACTGACCAGGGTATAATTTAACCTGATTGCCTTTCACATAATTGCCTATCACTCCCCTGACTCCTCACTGTGTTGTAACTACAGGATATTTGGCCTGTTTCAGTTACAGGTCATCTTGCTATTTCTCAGTCAATGTTACTGTGACTTTAGACACTAGTATTTTCTAGTTTCTTTCTTGTTCTTCATGTGATTTGAATATTTTGTCAACTGGCAAGTCTGGAGGACAGTCTTCCTTGCCCATCCTATCTAAGCAGCTCTTCATGTCCACCACGTGAGCCCTATTTCCTTACTTTCTTATTTATCTATATGCCATTTATCACCAACTGCCTTTAGTTTAAGATATTATGTAATGATTTACATGTTTAGCATCTGTCTCACTTATTTTCCTTTAGATTGAGTATAAAGGGAATCCTGCTTACATATAGCTTAGAACTCTGTGTAAAGACTTTGGATTTTATTTTGAATGATAAGGGGGGCCACTAGATGATTTTGCGATAGGTGTGATATTTTTTGACTGATATATTTGAAAGTGACACTAAATAGAAGCCCTGCAGGGTAGGAAAGTACTGCAGAAATTAGGGAAATCTGTTTGGAAGCTGTTGAAATATTCTTGATAATAGATAAAGTTGTGTTGGAAAAAAAAAATGTTACCATTGATGAATAAGAAGGGAATCAGAGACTTCTAAGTGTTTGGCCTCATAAATTGAATGTTTTATGGTCATATTCACTGAAGAATTAGTATTTGTAGATTTTCATATTTTATTAAAGGTGACGAGGTTGAAGAAGCTAAAATTCTGTTCTCGACTATATACATTTGTACAAAAATAACAATTACTTTGTACACTTGAAACATTGTGAATCAGCTATACTTCAATTAAAAAATTAGATGAAAAATAGAGACAAACTAAACTTTGAGATTACAAAGCATTGACAAAAACATTTTAAGTATAACTGATATTTTTATCATTATGAATGGTGAATAATACTGAGTTTTACATTAATTCATACATGATTCTCACAAGATATCTGAGGTAGATTTTACTGTTTTCTTAATTTACAGATAAGAAATTTTGAGTAACTGGAAAGTGAAGAAGCTGCCTATTTTTGGCATCAATAGCATGGACCTTTTAGATGTCTACAAAACTGCTTATAGTTTCATATTTACTTTGCAGTAGAGATGATAAGTAATGTATATGGCAACTTTTTTCACAAAAAATCTGAGAAGGAAACTACTCCAAAAACTCAGAGGCTTAATACAGTACTTCTCTATCTTTTGTGAATTAGTGGATATACTTGGGTTCAGCTGATCTATCCTGGGCTAGGCTAAGGGATTCTGCTTTAGAATTTAGTCTCAAGTGGCTCTGATTTCTGTTGTAGGGCTGTGAGCTAAATAGGCCTAGTTTATTGTGTCTGATAGCAGGAGGTTAATCCAAACATATTCTTATGGCAAATAACAAAGCTGCAAGGGGAGTAAAGCCTAAGCCCAGAACTGGTGTACCAGCACTTTTATGCCATTGGCATTGATCAAGGGAAGACACGTTCAGTTAAGTTCAGTTCAGTCATTCGGTCATATCCGACTCTTTGTGACCCCATGAATTGCAGCACGCCAGGCCTCCCTGTCCATCACCAGCTCCCGGAGTTGACACAAACTTATGTCCATCAAGTCGGTGATGCCATCCAGCCATCTCATCCTCTGTTGTTCCCTTCTCCTCCTGCCCCCAATCCCTCCCAGCATCAGGGTCTTTTCCAGTGAGTCAACTCTTCGCATGAGATGGCCNTGGCTTCAGTCCCTGGTTAGGGAATGAAGATTTTGTATGCTGTGTGGCTGAGTGCCAAAGAATTGATGCTTTCAAACTGTGGTGCTAGAGAAGACTCTTAAGAGTCCCTTGGACAGCAGGAGATCAAACCAGTCAATCCTAAAGGAAGTCAACCCTGAATATTCATTGGAAGGACTGATGCTGAAGCTGAAACTCCAATACTTAGGCCACCTAATGCGTCTGGACTGGAGCTTGTTACTTACCACATATAAAATTTTTAAGTCATGTAATTCTATGGGAAAGCAGGAAAGTACAAGTGAATAGAAAAGGGGTGTGCAGTGAAGGGTTAATTCAGCAGGCTTAGAATGTTCAAATCCTGCACATTACAAAGAAACAGTAGCCCTTGAGCAGAATCTGGGATTTAACCTCTAAGCATTTGAAATGTCTTGTATGACAAGAGTTTCTTTGGTGTGGAGCTTCATCAACCAGTTTATTCTGTCACTTACGGTAGCCTTGGGTCATGCTGTGTCAGTCTGAACTCTGGAGAAGCTGGGGACTGAGTGACTAAGGTCAGTTACCCCAGCACTTAACGCCTATCAGACTATTCTCTGATAGAAATCCTAGACACCAAGGCTCAGGAGAGTTTCTCCCCGGT